CCACAACATTCTTTCTGTTTAGCTTCATCCTATATGTTTCTAAACGTGTGGAAAATAGCTCGGCATGGAAGGATAGGAAGGTTTTTATGTTGAAACGAGGTAGCATTGGTTTCAAGATTATCTGTTGCACCCCCCTATGCACCGTTTTTTAACTGGAGATATTAGTTTGCTTCAGTCCAAAGAAGAACTTTCTTATCCATTGAAATGTATTGCCAATTACCTCGGCGCCGCTCAACTAATGTGAATTACGTATGTGAGGTCTGGTCAAGGTACGCTATAGCCAGCTAAGGCTTCGTCACTTGGAACGCTTTTATTAGGAATAATCAATTTCCAAGATATGAATACTCCTATTTAAATCAGTGCATCCTTTGAGAATATCAGATTTCTCATCCAAATAAATAGATAATATCGGCATATGATGACTAAAATTTTGACAAATTCGTTTATTAAGCTAACAGAATGACACTTTCAAGATTAAGTCGAGTACCTGGTTCAGAACAAATTTTTCTGATAATATTAATTTTCTCAGGTCAAATTGGTCCTTGAACTCAAGGACGTTCAGTTCCCTAATGGTTACTTCCCTAATATTCAACTACTATTGAGAGAAACATGTACCTACTGTGTGAGGATAACAACAAATAAAACGTTTGTGTTCTTAATCTACATAAATTTATATTTTAGAACTGATTTAAAAATCTAATAACGTTATGTAAGCAGGCTCAATGAAGATGTAGAGCATTTATTCCTCATGACAAAGGTAAAAGACGTATTTCTGGGAGGTTCATAAATACTCACTTTTATACCATGACATTATTTTTAACTTTACTTTTCAGGTAAGACTAGTAAAGCACACTTCATTACTATTATTTGATCTTTTTTCTTGTTTCCAACCAGCCATATGCTTATTCTGTCTAGGACAGCATTTGGGATTTGAAATTGTGCTACTTTTATACCGATCGTAAAAAACAAATATATTCGTTGCTTGCATAACCTTTGTTTCTGTCATTATCAACTCTCACCAATAAATTTTCATTTCTAAAATTAAGTATTTTTGTAAATTTTCTGAAATCTATTTTTAATCTTAAGAAAACTTGAAATTTAAATCTATTTAGGATAACATCTTATTTCGAAATCCCATGCATATCTGATGAACATCTTGTTTTAGAATTTTATGAGATTCTAAACGTGAGAACTTTAACTTAAATCGTATAGCTAAAATAATATTATTCAAACATAAGCCAATCATCCATTACTTTCAAGCACCAGGGTTTAGAACACATTATTTCTGTTCTCAACCTGCTCAGCTGCTTTGTTTATAAGTAGGAATAAGCCCTTAACAGTTAGGTACTCTTTCTATTAACTTTTACTGGTTGCCCTATTACTTTGCAAAAGTCTGTTGTTTATTATTAATTTGTAATTGTGTCCCACATTCCTGTCCATTGTAACTGGAAAATTTCCTTTAGAGAAATGATCCAGATACTGTATGAATTATGGATTATTTTTAGGAAGTCAGTGTGTTTGCAAGATTCAAGATAAATAACATAATGCAGACAGTCGTTAATTAGATTTATTGGTTCTTGGTTATCTAATGAGATGGTTATGTACTCTTTGCAATCCTAACTGCTAAATTTGTGTATAAACTTACTTTTTCTCGTTGGACTTCACAAGTGGTTAGTGTCATTTTAAATGTGACATATCTGGATTGATTTAGTAAATATCTTTGTAGACGACCACACCATGTTGAACTCTAAAGCACTGATATTTTCCACAAATACTGTCAATCTACTAACAACATTAAAAAGTAGTTAACTTCGACACACGAAACATTGCTACCACATAAATTTAACATGTTCAACTAGGCATTTTGTATAACAGAGTTGACTGTTTCCTGTACAAGTAATGTTGATTCTTCTCACCTAATAACCTCCACCATGTAATGAACTGGATGGGGCTTCTCGAAAGTTTTTAGTGATCAGCAAATGATGGTAGACGGACTCCAAAAAATACCACATGTAAAAACGGTTCTTCAATCTTATGGGCACTAATGTATAAGAGATTGTGTTATAGGCACCATGAACGACTATTTTTGCTTGTTTGAATGCTCGGATTTGCACAGTTAGTTATCTGAGATGGCAGAGATCGGCTGAACATTGCTTAGTTCTAATTCGCTATAATAGAAGCAACTGAAAGTTAGGTGTATAAAAAACAATGGAATGAATAATTATATACTTTAGAAACATCACTCAATAATATCAGTTTATTGTTTCATATTAAGACCAACAATATTACCTGGTTGTATAGATACAGGTAGATTATGTGAGACTAATGATGTAAGAAAGAAGCTTACAAACGCCATGAGTCATAGTTTTATTTAAAGAATCTGATGGAAAACATACTTTTTGCAGACATTTTCTCTGCTAATTTGTGCCACGTGTGGTCAGTTAATTGTATAATGTTTTAATCAGGAACTTCATAAAATTGTCAGTTGGCTTACGTGTTTTTGGAATAGTCAATATTTGTTGACATTAATAACCTCAACTCTACTTTAATTTCATTGGTTTATGCTTATACTAATGTTACAAGCGACTCAAAAGTGTGAAGAGATTTAGTGACGTAAACTGCGGTTCTCCCGACCCTGTTATCTGAAATAGCAAGCCGAATGGTGGTTCTATTGAAGTTTGATACAAACCCAAAACAGTAATGATGTCAATGATGACAGTAGTGGTGTAATGCGGATATAAATAGTATATAGCAGCAATCGGAAGTTGAGCGTCTATTAATAGAAGATCGAATTGAAGGGAATAGAAAGGGAAACAGAAAGTAATAGTAATGACAACAGAATTGGAAAGATCATGAAGTATGTAAGAGACGACAGAAGGAAGATGTACAAATAATGTATTTAATGTGTGGTTTTCATATATTAGTAAGGCACTCTGTAATTTTGCTTTACAAAAAGATTCGCCTTCCCCATCTGAATTCGTATACACTGCAGTGGCTTTAACGAAAGATATTCAGCGGAACATCGTTTGGACCAAATAGTTTATCCTACATATCCCGTCAACTACTTGTGGACGAATCCTAATATCATTTTTTCCCAAATTTTATGCTAGATTTATTCACCAGAAAATCGATGAAGCTGCACAATCATATAGTGTCGAAAACAATCTTCCTGTGTACGAACTGTTTAAATAACAGTAAAAATATTTGTTCTAATCACAGAAGAGGTACCAATTTTTCGTTTAATGGAAGTGATTTGATTTATGCTTAACAAATCTTACACTTATATCTTCTAAAGCTCCTAATTATTTGAATTTTTAAACGGATTTGATTTGATTAATTTTTATCCCTTTAGTATACGAACATTTCGATTTACGCTGATTTCATCCTTAAAGTATATCATCTAATAAATTACGTTATCTAATATTTGGTATAATAATATTTCTCTCGTCCTACTTGTTCTATATTCATTCTGAATATTATTCTTTTAATTTCATTCAGTCTATAAGCTCATCAACCTATACATTGAATGTGAATCGTTTAAGTATCTATAAACAGTGCTATGATTCTTCTTCTTACAATCATAGATTCATATTCTTTACCATAAAAAAATCAATTTGTCTCTGGCTTTTATTATTCCTTATGATTCGTAACTATAAAATATGATACAAATATCCTCTATTTATACAGTTGAATATTTTAATGAAATAACAGTAGTTTTCAACTAATATTATAACAGTGATTTTCGGTGTTCTTTATTGACGATATTACGTAAGGGGAAATCTGAGTTTCCAACACATTTGTATTGATACAATCAGTAAAGTGTTCATACATACATAACTGTTGAAAGTTTAATGAATATGTTGTATTTAGTGACAAACTGGGAACCGCTATTTCTATGAAGTTTAATGTATTAACCAATCTAAGTGGAATATTAAAAAAAGTCTAGCGAAAATTTTTTTCTAGTTAGTTCTTCATCATGACTCTGCACTAAAACATAGGTCTTACAAGTGAATAGAATGTTTTTTAAACGGAAATAATCTTTCATAGTTTGCTTATTTATTGTTATGTGCATTTTATTGCTTAATAGTAAATATTTTGTCAGAAGAGACAATACCAAACGAATTAAAGTTGAAATCACAAACTGATTCTAGATAGACCATCACTGAAAAGCTTCGTAGCAATGGACAAACTTTTCATCCTGGAATGGGACTCCTCAACAGTCCTCATCTATGAACATGTGCGAGGAAATTAAACTTCAATCAATCTTTAGTCTTATGCAATCCTATGTGTCGACTTCGTTGGATACTGGCTCAACGGTCTAGAGATTAAACATTTGCTTGAGAGACCGAACGTCCTGGGTTCGATCCTTACGTACAGAATCGTGCATGATCACTTCTGAGTAGTCTCATCGTAGAACAAAACGGTCATCCAGTACTTCCAGATTTTCAGTGGTGATCAGTCCGTGATTTCAAGTGTGAAAATACTAAAATTACGAATCCCCATACTAATATCAAACAAATTAGTTTGTATATTCATCATGGGATTAATCTGGACATACTGATCTACTACTGTTTTACTAATCGTCTATGATGGACATTTTCAGAAAATTCAAAATATTCCCTGTTTTTCTTTTGTAGAAACTTTTCCCCTATGAATTTAGGCATTCACTCCTCAAATATTTTCTTTCGCAAATCTATCTAAGCTAGTGTAGCAAATTTGTCGAAAAGTATATAAAGAGAATAATATAACAGATTGTTATGAGCATTAAAATAGAAAGTACACTACTCTTGACCAATAGTTCCTAACTAAATACTTTATAATACTCTAAAGAGTTTCATCACAATTGTAACTATATTTTAGCGTTGATAATAATGTTTTACACATTGATATATCCTTGACCAATAAACAGTGAATGTATTCACATCATTCAATTATTAGTTTGAACATTTAAAACAACACTTTTGTATAATTTGACTTTTTACAATATAGATATATATATTTATATATATAAACGCATTTCTGTGGTATTGCCATCAATCGGAAAAAAACCCTACTAATTCATATATAATTACAGAGATTAATTGTTGAAATAATTAACATGAGGTATTTTTTTGTTGTAAAACGTTTCTAGTAAAAGAAAACGTTTTACTAGATCAGAAAAGAAACAAAAAGGATAATCATAGATATTATGCAAATATTAATTAATAATCTGTAGTAGTAGTAGTAGTAGTAGTAGTAGTAGTAGTATCATTGTTAATGTTGTCGTTAATGTGTGATTTGTTGCTAAAAGAAACTTTCCTGATAAATGGTTTTACTGCAACAACTTCAACTATTTGGTATTATTTGAAAAAGAATGGATCTTTTTCTCGAAATAATAGACACAGCAGGGTAAAGTAAAATTTGATAGAACAATGAAATAGAAATCAGTATAAAGAAAAACAATGGGTAGAATGGGGGAAAAAAGTGGATTATGGGTTTCTCAACCCATTTTTACTAATCAATTTAAGGTAATTTATGTTCATTTTCCTATGCATCATCAAAATAACGAAGAGGAAGTAAAATTAAGAAAGGAGAATTAACAGTCATTATATGACAACGTTTGAAAGGATTATGAAATGTAAATCGATGTATGAAGAAATATACAATACAATAATTATGGCTATACAATTTAATTAAGTAGTATCCATTGTACACCAACGTAATAACTTTTTCAAATGAACCGCTGAGAAAAGATGATCTACAAATGATGCATGTGATGTAAAATTTGTTGACTGATTACAAGCATTTGTTGCTTGTTGATTAGTTAGCATGGAATTATTTGTTATTTCTGATTTCTGAATAGATATTGAACATATTTGACAATAATTTGAATCTATACAAGAAGAAGAATCTATTGGTGATGATTTTTCAGTTAATAAAGATGAATTTACTGAAAAATTATATTGTCCTGATGAAACACGTGCCATTTTCTTTTCTTTTGCACGTTGATTTTGAAACCATACTTGAACAACACGTCGTGACAAACCAATCATTTCACCTAATCGATCACATTCATGTACTGATGGAGTTTTGTGATAATTATATATCGAATGCATACATCTAGATTGAAGTGCTGTAATACTAGTTCTATTTCTACGTCCACCATTTGTACTAGAGGTTGTACTTGTTGAACGATAAACGCCAGAAACATGTTCTGTTTGAATTAAAGATGGGACAGAAAGAAATTGATCTTGATTATTAACTGTAAAGTCATTATTATCTTCATTATCCATTATCTGTGCATTTTGTTCAAGAATAAAAGATGAACTATTTTGACAGTTATTATCACCAGTAGAATTTACGATAACTGACGGAGTTGTTTTAGCGCTTAAATCCAATGGAGCTTCATTTGAATCTGGTGAGGTCTGAAAATGTGGCATAGTTCTGTTTAATGATGCATTCATAAGTGCTGTTAGTTGACAATGTAGTTTGTTTGGATCTGTATACACTTCAGTACCATTTGAAAATCCACGAATAGAAGATGATAACGATGTTGATGAGAAGTAAGGAAACTCCCACAGATTTATTGATTTTTGTTCACTTTCGGATTTTGATTGTTGTTGAATACGATTATGATGACCAAGATGAATAAGTGCAGCAAGAACACTTTGAGGATTATCTAACTCTGGTATCATGGGTAATCTTGGTGATAATGGAGTTTCAGAAATAGATGGAGAACTTCCTGATGTAATTGATGGCGGTGATTCATGCGAATTATTTGAATTATCAGCTAATACAAATGAATGAACATCACCATCGGTATTTTCAGTTGATGGAGTTGTCGTTGTGGTTGTTGTCATTGTTGAATGTAAGTTTCTTTTGTAATTATAGATAACATCTGAATCTTCAATCGATACAATTGATGTAGGTCTCTAGAAAAAGTAGGCAAATGAAAAGTTGTAATGTTACGTCTTTTAACAGCTGAACATAAAATCGGATTCCGTATAGAATTCTTTTAAACAAGCTACTGTGTACATTTAATAGATTAAATTCAGTTTTAGACAAAAAAGCACTTATTTGAGAGGAAACTATACTCAGTACCCATAACCATGAATAGTGTAAGATGATAGATAATTATCCTATTTTAAATTTGTTACATTTTTGATACTGGGAAAAATCGGTTACAGTCGTACATTTGCATTCGTTATTTATATTTCACTAGATTTCGAGCTTGTAGTGTCGGGTACTGTGTAAAACCCACATAATTTATTCTAGCTTCTGGACAGGCCAATTTCTCCATTCTTCTTAAGTCACGTTTTGACCTTGTTAATTATTCACTTACCAACCTTGACTATTTTTATATGAGCGCATGTGTGTACACTTTTTATCATACTCATCACATGTCTTTAGCTTATCCTTGTGTGACCATAAATATTGATTAATGCTCGGTTAAATCGAGTTGGCTCACCCACCATCTCCACCTCTTATCATTTCGCTTCGCTCTCTTTTCTTCATTCCCCAGATCAATGACTGCACAAAATATACGTAGTCAAAACTTCATTCTCGTATTTGACTTATTTAATTCCGTTATACACTAAAGCGGATTAAATCCGATAATTTTATACGATGATTGACGATATGTATATTTCAATAACATTCATATGATCTAACTGGAGTCAGATCTCGGGTCACTAAAAGCTTAATTTCATTTTTGCATTATTATTTCTTTATCATATTCATTTTTCTAAAAAACTATATTTTCCATTTTAAGCATTTTACTGTCATCAATATTATTGTTTTGATTGATTTAATTTCAATCTTGTGAATTCTCTCCTCCGATATATAATAATGTGAAATAACATACATAACTTGTAATGATGGATAAATTCTAGGTTGATTATGACTGATTTGAATTAGTCTTTTAGTATGCATCATCAGGGCATATTCTATTGTTCAATAATAAGTGTATGTTTTAATTAAAAACAATTTACTTATTTATTTGAACATATAAATATTGGTACAAGGAGGCATCAGATAGATGTGCGCCACACAAATCAAATGAGATTTGTGTGAGGGCTGGAATACTGCCCGGGTGCTCGGAGCCTTCGACCTACAGGTCTGATCCACAAGGCAGTGGAGCATCGTAAGGAGATGCAGTCTCATGGTAGCCGGTAACCAACGGTTGGTTCATACGCCGTATGATCCTTCAGGATCCTGGTGCCCAGTGCACCATTGGTTTGGAATCAGGGTTTTCCATAAGTGGTTTTCCCATAAGTGGAAACTAAAAGTGTCTCTGGGTTGTTGCATTGTTTGATGGTATTGTTTCTTGCAGGAAATAGTAATAAAGGTGCAATAGGTGCTTACTCCCTGATCCTTTTACTTAAACTAAGGAAAAATTGTTTGTTATTTAAAAAAGGTTTTTACTTTCAATAGTTCGCAATGCCGAGGTGTCATAATTAGAAGACTATCAAATAAACCAACTAGCTATATATATACATATAGAACATTAAAATGAGACGTACTTCATCGTTCATACTACCATCTTGAATATCTTTCTGTAGTCGTTGACGTTTATTTTGATTGATCCATTTCATTTGATCAATATTTTTCAATGATTCCATTTCACAAGATCTTTTAATTGTTGAAGTTAAAGATTTTGTTAGAGAATTCAATGATTCAATAATGTTTATATTTTCATTTTCAATATCATTATTAATATTAGATGAATTAGTTAAATCTTGTGAATTGGTTTCAAATTGTAAATTATTATTATTATTTTGTTTATCAATTTGTTCAATGTTTAAATGATATAATTTATGATGTTGTTTCATTGAATGTGTTGAATGTACTTCAATTCGACCAGTTTTTTCATATTCTTCTATATTTAAACTAGTACTTGGTGGTATAGAAAAATTATATGGATTATCTTTATTTTTTTGTCTTTCTTTAAATAATGTATTACGAAACCAATGTTTAACAACTTTCTCTTGTAAACCAGTTTTATTACAAATTTCATAAATTTTTTCATCTGATGGTGAATTATTAATATCAAAATATGAACGTAATATATTTAATTGTGATTCACTTAAACGTGTACGACTTCGTTTTTGTAATGATGATAATGATAATGATGATGATGATGTGATTTGTTGTTCATATGGTTCAATGAATTTAGTTCTTTCATGTTGAGTAGTTGAATATAATTTAGGTAAAAGATTTGTAGAATTATTAATACTGTAATCTTTTATAGAATTGAAATAAGATTCAGTGAATGTTTTATTCATTTTATTATCTTTATCAATTTGATTATTATCATTATTCTCATTAGGATCATTTTTATTAGTTAAAGTATAGTTTAATAATAAGTTAGAATTATTTGAACAAATATTGTTTGTTATCGTTTCAAATGGACTATTTACTATTGAATCTTTTATATCTTTATTAAGTAAATTGGATTGATCAGAAGTAATCACTGATAATGATAATGGAGTATTGGAATCACATATATTACTTATATCATTTTTAGTAGTATTGTTGTCAGTGACAAGATTTTTTGCTGAGAAATTTTGTTCTACTATTAATGATGCAGAAGTATTAGTATCATTGAATTCAATTTCATTTGTTTGTAATACAGATTTTGGCATATTTTGAAAACTATCTGATTGTATATGTTTTAAATGTATCGATAATAGATTTGCAGAACTCGATTTAACAGATGGTTGTAATTTACAATGATTTTCTAAGCTTGAATGAAATAAATCTGAGAATGCAGAATTAGAAATAAGCAAATTTAACTTTTCAACTAATTCATTTACAGATGAATTAGATAAAATAATAGTTAAAGGATTATCATTATTATTATTAGAAATCTGTTTAGAATGTTGTAGTTTTATGTGTAATTCTGAACTGGATTCTAATAGAAAACGATGCGATTTATTTTGATATTTTCTGTTTCTTTCATCATCATTACTCTTTTCGTTGCTAACGTTATCATCATCGTCATCATTATTATTATCATAGTTATCATTACAACAATATGTACACAACTTGCCTTTTTTCATTTGTAATTCACGTACATACTCTAATTTAAACCAATGATTATTTAATTTTTCATAAATATTACCATAATATACTTTATCATTTACAATTACCTCTAAAGTAAACGCTAACAACTCCTCTGAACAATATTTATCATTTTGTATATTTGAAAAACTGTCACAACTTATTAATTCAAATGATTGTTTTAATAAACTATGTAAATTAGGCAACGTATTAAACTCATGGAAAAAATCATTGGTTGACATTCGGTTGTGATTAGTTGGTAAATCAATATCATCGATTTGTTTTGGCGGTAAATTTGATGGTTTAGAAATAGCTGTTAAAGGTGTAAGTGTAAAAGCAGAAGAAGAAGAAGAAGGAGAAGAGGGGGGTGGTTGTGATATTAAAGTTGATGTCGATACTGGTTCAGTAATTTTACTCATATTCATTGAAGCGAGTTGTGTTATTACTGATGGATTGGTTAAAAATAGTTCCATTGATTGTGCGTAGTTATAATTTTCAGAGATTTGTTTATAATGAGCTGTCATTTGTGCAAATAATTCCATAGGTGTTACTGATGTACCACATATATTAAAATTATGTATAGGTGATGACATATTTGATGTATTTGAAGCGGTCAAACGTTGTTCAGATTTTCTCCATTCATCTGATATATGTAATTCTTTGGGTAAAAATAAACGGCTAGCAGATACATTATCTTCAACTGTACAATTAGATGATAAAAATGCATTAGCTGTCATAATATTTTTATATCTAAAACAAAGAAAAAACATGGTCAAGTAATTTTAGAATAATTAACAACGTTCAAGACATTATTTGCTTAATGTTGTGTTAATTCCATACTAGAAGCATACTAAACAAAGAATACAATATGACAAAACATATTTTATCAGTTATGTGACTACTGACAAATGAGAAAATGTCCTCCACTTATAACGTACTCACAGAAGAGTATCTTTGAGTAAATTTTTTTACAAGCTGCTTGAAATACCAAGCAGTTTGTTCATTACTTACATATCAAAGTGTAATTCACCTCTATATAATGAGTCGGAGTTTACATTTCAATCCACCTAATTAACTTTGAACAGCTTATTAGATACACTAATCTTGACATAGGAATTAATAAACCGAATTTCGTTACACTTTAGATGAATATCATATTAATGTAAGACTTAAGATTTCCATATTAAATTGATATTGAAAATTAACTCATTTGATAGCTATTCGTCATGGTGTCGAGATGCTAAAAACTGAAATGTCATACTAGATAAAAACTGTCCATTTTTGAGTGTTAGTTTGGATGAAATTTAGTGTTGAAATAATAAATAAAAAAGTGTATAAATGAATACGTGAACAAATAAGTAGTAACTACATTTCCTTGAAAAAGCTTGGACCAGATTGCCAGGCGAAACGTTGGATTTACTTCGAATTCTTTCGCTGAGATTTTACAAATAAATTCTTCCACTATATGAAACAGTTTGTAATCTGTTGAGCTTTGACTGAAGGATTTATTTCATAGTTACTCGTAAATTTCTTTCATCATATAATAGACTTTCTTACCATTTGTCATGTTTTGAGGATTCTGATAGAAATTCTGATATACATACATTAAAGACAGTCAGCACACGAAAGTGTAGATAATTTACGAGCTTGTTTACTTATGTATTGTGACCACATTGACATAATATAACAGATTGGTCGCTTGAGAGAAATTAACTAAGAAATATTGGTTCTAAAGCTTTTGAAATATAGAAATGGCGTTCCAAGTGTTTTAAGAATAACAGCAGTATCTTCTTAAGTGTAAGGATATGTTCACAAATATTCGATCCATGCATTTGATCATACTGATATCTCTTCCATGGAGTGATATCGGTAGGTTTCACAAGTCTTTGAAGTGGGTCCCCCAACTCTAGCTGAAGTTCAAAAGGCTATAGTTAATCTGAAACGAGGAAGGGCAGCTGGTCCAGATGGCTTGGCTCCAGAGGTCTTTAAGGATGGTCGTCCAATTTTAGCGATTAGGTTGACTAATATTTTAGCTAAGATCTGGGAGTTAGACGTTATTCCATCTGACTGGTCGCAATCACTTATCGTCCCAATATATAAGAAAGGGTCAAAATCATCCTGTGATAACCACAGAGGAATTAGTTTAACTAATATAGTATGTAAAATTCTAGCCTCGATAATTATCGGACATCTAACTAAGACTCGTGAACTGCAAACACGAGAGAATCAAGCTGGCTTCAGACCTGGTCGTGGCTGCATTGACCACATATTCACCATTCGTCAGGTTCTAGAACACAGGCATACTTATCGGCGTCCGACAATGGTAGTCTTTCTCGACTTAAAAGCAGCATTTGACTCGGTAGACCGCGAGATTCTGTGGTAGTGTCTGTCATTGAAAGGCGTACCTCAGAAGTACATAAACCTTGTAAAGGCTCTTTACTCGAACACTACTAGTCGAGTCAGAGCTTATGGCGAACTATCATCTACTTTTGCAACCTCAAGTGGTGTCCATCAAGGCTGTCCACTTTCTCCATTTTTGTTCAACTTCATCATAGACTTACTAATGGAAATAACATTCTCGTCTACTGAATTCTCGGTCATCGATCTCATACCAGGATTTCCACTTATCGACTTAGAATACGCAGATGATATAGTCCTGTTTGGTGAAGACGCTGATAGAATGCAGAGTCTTTTGGTAGCACTAAGCAACAATGCCAGAATGTTTGGAATGCGCTTCTCTCCCTCTAAATGCAAGTTGTTGCTTCAGGACTGGCCTCCTTCAACACCTGAACTAAGGATAGGGAGTGAAGTAGTCGAACACGTTGACAACTTCACTTATCTTGGAAGTCTGATCAGTCCTAATGGGTTGGTATCGGACGAAATCTCAGCACGGATTCGTAAAGCTCGCTTGGCTTTTGTCAACTTACGTCACCTGTGGCGGAGGCGAGATATCCGTCTATCAATAAAGGGGGGAGTATGCTGTGCGGCAGTCCGTTCTGTTTTACTTTACGGCAGCGAACCATGGCCTTTAAGGGTAGAAGACACTCGTAAGCTATTAGTATTTGATCACAGATGCCTTAGAAATATTGCTGGCGTGTGCTGGGATCACCGGGTAAGTAATAGTGAAGTTAGACTTAGGGTATTAGGAAATGATGGTAAATCAGTTGATGAGGTTGTGAATCTTCATCGACTGAGACGGTTGGGCCACGTGTTACGTATGCCTGAACACCGATTACCACGACGCGCAATGTTATCCGGTGTTGGAGATGGTTGGAAGAAAGTTAAGAGGGCGGCCAAACCAAAACGTGGCATCAATGCTTGAAGTCACTAACTTTTAGTCTGAGCCATGTTGGTAGATGCGAACTATTTCGTTGGGGTCTGCGTGACTATCGTAACTAATGGTTGGAGACTCTTGGTGACATGGCCCAGAATCGATCACAATGGCGTAGGTGTATAAACTTCCTGTTTTCCCTTAAACTAAGAGATTAAAATTGCTTTTTATCTTTCGTTCTACAAAATAATTCTTTTTTTCTGTATTGTATCCTTATGCACAATCTTTCTTTTATGTATTACTACCACTGAATTAACTGCTTCTATGAATCCGGTGTTCATCTTGTTGTGCTAATGAGGTATGGCAACTTGGACCTATGCATATATGTGCCTGGTCCTACGTTGTAGGTGACTGACTGACGAAACTTCCTGGCTTATCCTGGTTTATAAGGATGTAAGTTATGTCGTCACTGAGTTTCTTCCTTGTGTCAGTTACTTTCTATTCAGATTAGAAGCTTATTAAATCTTCTGTTGTTGGTGTTGAGGACTGATACTGATTAGTCTTTTTTGGGTTACATACATCCTGAGAGGAATACTTCAATACTTATACCAACCACTATATAAACAATTAGTTGACGTTTAAACCAGAAGTTCCGGAATGACACATCAACACTGGAATCCTGATACATCCGGATGACGAGTCACAAATACGACAGAACACAAATTCTAGATCCCACTATTGACTACTCTATAACCCTATTGAAAAACCTATTCACAAACAACTGTTAATAGAGAATATAATGTTAACAAGTCATTTATACTGCCTATAATATATTATCCTTATTATAACAATATAAGATTACACTATTAGACCTAAATACAATAATAGACAATAAACATATATATAATTGTATTTATGAAGAAGAAAGAAATATAAAAACGAAATGACAAAGGATAGATAATAAGTAAGTAAGAAGGCAGAGTATACAGAGCAAAATATACAAAAAAGAGATAAGTGAATTTACTGAATTTGTTTTCTATTTCCGATTATTTTAAATCAGATGATTATTTTTTGTTGGTAAATTACACAAATATCTATTAGAAACATGTTAAGAAGTCTACATAATGAAATCAAGATGATACATGTAATATGTAATGATAAATAGAACATCATGTATCATGTCAGGCAGATGAATAATGATGACGGCAATAACAATAATGATGATAGTAATAGTAATAGTAATAATAATAATAGTAATAATAATAATAATGTGCTCATACTATCATTATTATTATTTATATTAATGTTAAGTAGTTTATTTATAAACAATAATAATATTTTATTTCCAATCTATGAAAATGTTGATAAACTTAACAAGATATATCCAATTGCTTATTAATAATTGGTAAACAGATCATTCATATTTGAGTAAGGATTATTATTCTTATTATTATATGCCTTGAGGTATTTCATTTATTTGTTAAATGAAATTTTAAATATTACACAGTTAATCATATAAAAATAACTGTAATCTATTATTCTGTTTATTTGTTTATTTAATTTGAAAATTTGGTAGTGATGTTGATAATGAAATAGCTCAGACCATAATCATAATAACAATAATAGTAATAATAACAATCATAATGTTATATACATATTGAAACACATAGTCTAATCAAGTGTACATCTTTTACAACATTAATAGGTTGAGACTAGCAGTAAAATCCAGGTCGCTTGTTTCGTCTTATTTCGGACGACTCAACTGGATGTATCATCACCCATCTTAATGTTCACAGAGGGAGTCGAACAGCAATTTAAATCAAATTATTAAATGTAAGTTAAATTCACACTCATTTAACAAGGTAGTAGCCTTCTGGAATCAGTAATTCAGTGGATAACGCACCAACCGTTTGATTCTCGCTGTGAACATTAATAATAGGGTGTTTATACATTCAGCTAACAAGTTTCAGGTAGGAAAAAACTCGCGTTTTATTTTTACTATTAACCACTATCTATTTGTGAAAAAAAAACGCGTGAATAGTAAAAATTCGCATAGGATTCACTTATGTTAAAGTTCATTAGAAAATATTAACAGCAGATTAATTCAAACCATCACGAATTGAAGTCAAGTATATATTGTAAGGATTGCTATTGTTGTTTTTGTCTCTAACCTATACGTTCTATAAAACTGACGGAAAATTACAATGTATTTTATCTCTGAATGGTTTATGAGAGCATGTGTAAATCAACTGAAGTTTAAAACAAGAAACAATAGGTCCTGACTATATGAGTAGAATAACCTTTGATAAGAATTACTAAGTAATAAAGAGGTATAAGGTCTGATACATTAAGTGTGTTATCAGTGTTACCAGTGAGTATCATGATTGAGGAGTTTCAAACAGCTATTGAACACCCGATGGTTTTCAATAACTTAGTGTCAGTTTAAACTAAAAGCTATAATAATCAAACTACATAAATC